CGCTCTAACAACCAACCCATAAGCTAGTGGTCAGCCATGTGATGATGATTTGCACAATGACACACGAAAAGCTGTTCATAATACGAATAAGTGATATTTTAGATATCAAATACAGTTTGAATATAGAACTACAGGAAGATTACGATAAACAATGGATCATTTGTCTTAGTCCCTATATATCGAATGTCGGCTTGTTTTGATTCCCCGTCAATTTGGATAATCTCTAGAGGTTTGTTCATGCTTGTCGATCATATTTGATGTTTATTTATTTTGCTCACTACAAGAAACGATAGTTCAACGACGAAAACAATAAATAATATCTTAAATACAAACATCCCTTCAGCATTCTTTTAGCCAAACCTACTCAATAAAAACCATTGTATCAATTGACCAATACACGATGTATCTTTCTTAAAAACAATGTCGTAAATCCCAACACAGGCAGAATATGTTGACACAGGTTTAGAAAAGAAATTGACGAATTTATGCATGATGGTTCGCTGCCAGTCACAAAAAGTAGAACGGATCCCCAAAATTCGCGAAAAAGTTTTCCTATTTTTGCGGCAATATACGGAAAAGATAGAACTTGAATTAACGATGACGATCAACAAATAAATGGAATAACCTAAAATGTGAACAATTCACTTAAGGATGTGAACAGTTTTTGAAATGAAATGATGCAAATACCACTCGGAAATACGCAAATGGTTTGTTCAGATGAAATCCATTTATGAAGTGTTCTCAAAATTCATCAGAACAAGAAGAAATGCACTCAGTAGAAAAGCTTTCTCATTTTCGTTTTATCTTTTTTCTCCTTTTTGCATCTTATCAATGAACGACCAATGATAAACACTGCAGAATTTCAAGTAATAGTCAGAGCAATTCAATCACAAAATGAAGTTTTAATCAATTATCAAAAATGTTACATAGTGAAAGTGAGTAAATTTTCGAGAAAGGTTTGCGATAGTGAATAAATTTTTAACGGTGAAAATGTAAAATTTAGGAAATACTTGTGAGAAAAACAGAAGATAAGTATGCAGTCCGATGGATGTTTACTAGAAGAAGAACAAATGAGTGGACTTGCAGAAAACAATAATCGGCTGAGTGAAATTTGAATTTTTGATGAACCCAGAAATGAATGAGCGACGTTTTTCATTTTCCTTCAAAGATGGTAAATCATTTACAACACTCCAGTTTAGATCATCAGTTTGTGAGTTCGATTTGAACTATCGACCAAATTTGTCCGCAGAAACTTCCGCATTTATCCATATAAATTTCCGTTCAACAAAATCTTTACATTGAAGAAATTTTCATGAAAGTCGAATTTCTTAAAATTCCGCAAAAGGTCCACTCTTTTCCAATGAGTTAGGGATTTCACCCACTCATAATGATCTGATTTGAGAATGATCAATAGGCTACATATCAGGCTCATTGCGAATGAACATAGATTTGAGAATACGTTTGATATCAACGGATGCTCAGTGTGGAGAATTATTGGAAACTGTGAAATGTGGTCAGGAGCGACCAACTTGCACGAGTTTATTCATGCAATAAGTGTAACAGACAACCGATGCTCATCCACTGCTGGCCATTTAGGTGTAATGCTCTTTTTCATAACACATTATTCCCGTATGAATAGTGAACTAACGCTTCTCGTAAAGGACACAAGTTGGAATCATTTATGCGCCATTTTCATTCTTCGAACAGAATCACTTCAACTAGTTCATGAATATTTATATTCGAAGATTCATGCAGTTCCATTTTTATGGGTTACTACTG